CTCCTGCTTTCTGCTTCACGGCTGCTGGAGGTGAGCGGCTTTCCTCTGCCGTGTCCTTTTGCCATGTTTCTGCCTCACTGGGAGCCTAAGAGCATTGGAACCAGCCACCCACAGACTGAAACCAGGAAGCAAAGCAGCTCTTGCCCGCTTTGAAGTTGTTTTTCTCAGGTGCCTTGCCACAGTGACAAAAAGCTGGCTAACACAGTACCAGTTTACCATCAGCCATTTCGGTCCTACCACCGGACAGGAGTGGGGGACCTGCAGGGTCCTCCCACTCCCTAAGAAGCCCATCACTTCTCTCATGTTGAAACTATGTGCTTGGGGCTGAAAGTGTAGCACAGTAGTAGAGCACTTGCCTAGCAAATGATCCCCCTCATGAGAAGAAAATAAAAACAAACAATGCTTGTATACAGTCCGGTGCAACTGGGAAGGACACCACCAAATGTTAAGCTACTTCTAGAGGACAGGAAAGGGGTGCTGGGAACAGAAAATTCTGCTTTTTGCTTCATATAAATCTACTTATTTATGTATGCTCACGAGCAAAGCCTTGAACTCACAATCCTCTTGCTTCTACAGTGTTGGGATTACACCATGACATCAAGCCTTCTAGTTATAACCGAAGTTAGCTCATCATGACAAAAGGTCAAAATAGGAATTACTTCTGGGAGAAGGAACAACAGCGATTAGACAGGGGTCTGGGATATTGGTAGTGTTCGGTTTCTTATTGGTGTGGAAGCTACATATATAGGCTTATCAGGCTACCCCCTTAGGGTGTAGGTACTGTTCTGTCTAGGCGCTCTCAGTTAAGATGTTTACTTATACATGAATAAGTAGCAAAAATCAGTTACCTGCATTCCAGCCTTCTTTTCAAGGAAGGAGCCCTTAATCCTTTCATGTGATCTACAAGGAAAAGGATCAGAAGTCATAAACATATTTTGTTTAATTTTTTTTAAAAAGAATTCCTCAGCCAATGACAGCTGAGCTGTCTTTATGAGCTTCCTATTGAGAGAAATTACACAAGGCTCACTGTTATGAGCAAACTGATCCCATAGATCTTTGGTTCTTCTGCAGATGATGAATGTTTCAGAGTACAGAACAGGAACCACTGAACGTTGTCCAACCTGAGCTGATGAGAACAATTCAAGTCCCACATGGTTGAGGAGACTGAGGCAGTCAGGTAGTAAGAGAACCTACGTGAACTGATTTGATGACACCTGGATACATGAACTCTGCCCATAACATAAAATAAATGAATAATTTTAAAAAATGGAGGACATCTGACCAAGCTTACAGATTGTGTGTGTGTGTGAGAGAGAGATTAGTGTGTGTGAGACATTAGAGTGTGTGTGTTTGTGTGAGATTAGTGTGTGTATCAGACAGACTCTGTGTGTGTGTGAGAGAGAGAGGGGGGGAGGGAGAGGGAGAGGGAGAGGGAGAGGGAGAGAGATCTTAGGCTCTTGCCTAATGTCTCGGGGTGCAGGAGAAGTTCTGAAACGTGTTTTCTTCACGCGTGACAAACGAGAATTAGGGAAGTGTGGGCAAGAGCTAACTAAACCTACCAAACCGATGCTCTCTGCTGGGCTGGTAACCAGCATTTCTAACAGCTCAGCCTTACCACAGGGTCCAGGGTCAGACTGCAACCAGAGTTGGGGTTACAGAGGTGGTACAGACCTGAAACTCAATAAAGCCAAAGCGAGAAGAGCCGACTGGGACAAGGGTACTTTCCAGTTCCTCGCTGAGTCCGCAGCCTGCTCCTCTCCGGTCATGTCTCCTCCAGCCCTACCGCCCCGGCAGCAGGTGGCCAGAGGGGCTCACTCACCCTTGTGGCAGTGCGAAAGGAAGTAGGCGCGGGCTTTCAGGTTCTCCCTGTCAAAGCGGTCAATAGAGATGGTTGGATATTCCGCCATCTGTCCCTGGAAGGAGCTCATAGCGCCCAGGAAGGATAGACCCTAAGCCCACCACGGAAGCAGAGCGGCACACTGACCCTGGGCGCCACCACTTCCGGGAACCTGCGCACCGCCTCCTCATAGGCCGGCTGAGCTCAGCCACGTCCAATCAAAGGAGCCTTGCGGCAGGGGCGGAGCCAAGGAGCAGCCAGTCTTGTTCCCGCTTCCCACGGCCCTCGGTTTAAATAGCTGCAGCAGTTGCACACTGAGATCCCGCCGAGCGAGCGCCGAGCGAGTGTCTACCGCTGGCTCCTCACGGAGAGTCGCGATCCTGCCAGGAAGCAACAAAGGAAACCAAAAGTGTTTGATGCAGTGGTGCAGAGTTGCGGCATCTGTGGCGTAACCGAGGCAGGAAACAAAACACAGCTGGAAATGGTGGCCAGGGAGCTTCATTTTTCTAATCACACTGCCTTGCATTTCCTCCTGTCTACCGAAGATCGAGTTGTTTTTTTGTTTTGTTTTGTTTTGTTTTTGTTTTGTTTTTTTCCCTTTTTTTCTCTTTTCCCAGTTTGTATTTTATAGGATAACCACGAGGACTGGATGAGAAAATTACCTCTGACTCTTGGTTAATAAATTCTGTTGGTACTCGTTCCCTCTCCCCTTTGTACATAAGCTAACTATATCTTGAAGGCTACAATTCAGACATAGATTCTTAGAGGAAAAGGGGGGGGGGGAGTAAAGATCCTGTTGATCTGCTAGCCTCCAGTAATCCTTGGAGATGTGTTTCTAGAAAGCCAGAAAGATAAAGAAACGGAGGGCAAGAATGATGGGGGGCAGGAGTGGGTGGGTGGGGGGAAGTCTGGGAAAATTCATAGTAACATTATTAAGATCCACCGAAGACTTCTGTCAGTGGTACCTGTTGTCTCCTTCCTACCAAGTTCTCCTTAATCACTGCTCTCACAAAAAACTGGAACCTCCAAATCGTGCTATGCAGAACACTTTGACAAGCCTTATGGAGGTGGGAAGGAAAGCTCCCTAAAAGAAGCAGAAACGAATTGACTGGTTTCAGTACTGTGGAGAGATAAGAATGTTGCGGGCCCAGAAGCTAATTACCTTATCTCAGGCTTCTTCTAACCCTTGGGAATAGTTATTCCTTGTCCAACTCTGTGTTGGAACTAACATCTTGTGACTAACAGATGAAAACCTTTGGGAATCTATTAATTTAGCACACCACTAGTTTCCACCAGCCCCAAAGCTGAGAATGTCATCAGATAGCATCCTGGACCTATAGAAAAGCTTCCCCATTTTTGCTATATCTGTCTCTCTGATGTACCCAAAAATGTGTTTTAAACATGCCTTAATTTATGACTTTCTTGGTTCTGCCAGAGAACATTGGCTTGCTCTTGCAGCCATAATACTCAGTTCTATTCACATACAGATTTTCACAAAGAGGAATGGGGGAAGAAGGCAGGCGGGCAGTGGAGGGAAGCGGCTTAGACATAGTCACTAATTTATACATTTTACCACAGTAGTACTAGTAAAGCCGTGGCTTTGTATAAGATGGTCTGTCCTAGAACAAGGGAGGACTATTGCTGCGAGTGGGTTGTCCAACAGAACAAGACATTCTGCCCTGAGTCTGGCTATCTACAGAATTGCTCCTAAGTTGAAGCTCCGAAAGAGGCAAGACAAAATAAGATTCTTCTTCTTATTTATTTGTTCACTTCTTCCCTCTTTATAATGTATACAGCAGGAGATAATGGTGGGAATCAAGTTACAATCTAAGCAACATGCACACTTAGATTCTTACAGCCTAGCTTTTTCCACTCAGGACTCTCCTTCCTTTTAGAAGTTTTTACACAGCACTGGACACATATAAAACAGGCATGCAAATCAAGCACTTGCTGATAATGAATCATGAAGAGATCTGCTTGAAAATAATTCTTTGATATACGTATTTCGGAACATCGTCAAAGGAATGACTCATGGTGAACAATACTTGGGGAACTGGAGAGAGGCTCCAGGGAAAAAGGCAGAGGGCCTTTTACCTCAGCTGCGATTTGTTCCCTGGATTGATTTGTTCCCTGCAAATTGTTCTTGGATGTGATTTCGTGCCTCCTGTGACAAACACATTCAATTTATAAAACATTTTTATTCTTGGATATCAGAACACAGCTATAAAACCCAATCTGGCCAGTGTACCCTGGATCTGATTATGGTCTTCTGCCTTGCTCTCAAGCTTTCCCAGATGTAATCTGTAGTATACGCCAGGCAATTGTGTTTAAACTGGTCTCTCAGCCGGGCGGTGGTGGTGCACGCCTTTAATCCCAGCACTCGGGAGGCAGAGCCAGGTGGATCTCTGTGAGTTCAGGCCAGCCTGGGCTACCAAGTGAGCTCCAGGAAAGGCGCAAAGCTACGCAGAGAAACCCTGTCTCGAAAAAAAAAAAAACCCAAAAATAAATAAATAAATAAACTGGTCTCTCCTGAGAAAGTTCTGGGAAAGGGCTTCTCTGTTAATATTTAGCATGTGTTTATTTGCATTTATTTATATGTTTTTCTAATCATGTTTTTCTGAATTCAAACAACCTTCCTTGGATCATTGCTTTCTTTGTTACATTTGTGTAAAAAAGTACATAAACTGAAGTAAAGTTGTCTACAGCATTAGACTGTAGCCCACCCCATTCTTTCAGGGCCTCAGATCCCAGGGCCAGCAGACCAGCCTTGCACAGGTGGGCTGAAAAATTGACATACACACACATATGTACACACACACACATACATATAATCAAATTTGTCTACTAATGGATGGACAGGCCTGTTTCTTTTCACATAAAGAATTCAGTCTTGACAATATTTGGTGCTTCAGTATGCAGAACACCTTCAGCATTTTTTAAGAGTTGATCGATGATACTAATTTTATAATCATTAGTGCTGAGAATGTCACTTTTCATAAATATGACAACATCCCAGTGGCAGAAAGATGTTTACATCCATTTCAGAAATTGTTGAAAATTCTGTTCCATGCCTAGGCAAAATTGACTGTTTCTTATAAAGCTCAAACCAGCATCTCAAATGGCAATTTTTGAAATTAAACATTACAACATAATACAATCCATACATGTATTAATTTAATACTTAGGTGCTGAGGGATAATGGTAGGAAAATATTAAAAGTCTTTTATTTCCATGATTAAACTATTATTTCTATATTAGCAAAAAATTGCATGTACAGTAAAAATATTGCAATTCTTGAATCTGAGGCATTACTTCAGGCAGTGTTTGTTGGTGTTGTGTGCCATGACAGCATGTGTAACACAGAGTGTGTGTATTTTAGGTTTAGAACTGAGACGGCCAGGCATGGTGGCACAAACCTGTGATCCCAGCACTCTGGAGGCAGAGGCAGTCAGATCTCTGTGCGTTCAGAACCAGCCTGGTCTCCACAGCAAGATCCAGGTCAGCCAGAACTACATAGTGAGACCATGTCTCAAAACAACAACCAATACTAGAACAGAGACTTCAGGGAACTGCAAATTTGACACAGGTACACCATGGTACAATCACCTCGTGTTAATCACATATTTGCTTTTGAGTTTATCTTTGGCCAGTGGGGGTTCAGAAATCTTTTACTTTTCTTACAGAAATTAGGTGGGGAGAGAAGACATGAAGGGTGAAAGTGAATTGCTGGGGTGTCTGGGGAGAGTGGGAGGGAAAGTTGGAGGTGGATATTATCAAAGTACATTGTCATGGCTAGAGAGACAGCTTAGCAGTTTAAACTTCATACTGCTTTTGCAGAAAGACCAAGTTCAGTTCTCATCACCCGCATTGGATGACTCAAAAATCACCTATCATCTAGTTCCAGGGGATCCACTGCCCCTGGCCTCCATAAGTATCTGCACTCAGGCTTAAAAAAAAAAACATTATTTACATGTATGAAATCTACATATGGAATAATATATACAGGTCTCAGGTAAGGAACCAAAGAAGCTACTGCAATATCCCAGGAAATCTGATGGTCAAAATCCATTTATTCCTTTGACAAATAGTCACCCACTCTATTATGTTACAGACGCTGGGCTGAACACTAAGGCGTAGTGGCGAGTAAAGTAGTCAAAAAAACCTTTGTTCACAGAATGCATATTCTAGTGAAGATTGTCACTGTCACTTGTGTGGTTCCAGACGCTGTCAGTGTTCTGTTTGCTATTTCACTTTCACAGCGACCCTAGCAGACAGGTTCATTTTTGTGGCCATTGTACAGTTGTGAGCATTGCTATGTAAATTGTGCAAGGTCATGTTCTCAGTAAGCAGAGTCCAGATTTAAATTCAAGGCCACTGTGTTCTGAAGCACCTCTCTCAGAGCTACCTTGTCATCCTGCGTCCTTCATAGCATCAGAGCGGAATCAGCAGCAGTGAGGTGATGATGTGTATGTACTCCTGTAGTGGGTAGCCATTCCAGCTTTGATCTGGAAATTTCAATCCCCATTGAGGCTTTGGTAACTGTCATGCCTACAAGGCGGGGCCAAGAAAGGACCCTGAAGACCCGAGATCCAGATATGGGGGCTCTCTAGATGCCTAGACCCTGGAGGTAGAGCCGAGCAGAGTGTTCCAGAGAACACTGCCAGACTGCACCATACCTTTTCCAGACCCTGTAAACGATCCCTTCATTTGTAAATTACCCCACAAAATAAACCTCCCTTTTAACAACGTGGAGTGGCCTAAATAATTTCACCAATATACTCCCTCGAAGCACACTGCATTCATATCTGGTGCATGCTAGGCGCTGTTAAACCAGGTGTGGCTGGAGAAAACTGATCCAGGACTGTAGAGGAAGACGACAAATCCATATGGGCAGTGTGCAGATTTCCTAAGTCGTTACTGGCCTTGTAAACCTCTGAGGTTTTTGTTTTTAATTTTACTTAATGTTGTTTTTACTGAGAATAAAAAGGAAAAGTATTACAGAGTCACAAGCCAAGCCCAAGACTGGCATCATCTGATTTAGGTTTTAAGTGGTTTGTGCTGACTATTGTGTTGAGAATAGGCTATGGGTGTGGGGAGAGATGTTGGGAATTACTATAATCACCAGAGAGACTGCAGAGAGATGGTTTTTTGGACTTGTGTGGGAGCTATTAAAGTCAACAAGTCTCCCTGATGGGTGCAATAAGAGAAACAGAGGACTCTGGGCGACAGCTATTCCAAGTGGAAGATGTGCAAGCCACAGGATTTCCTCTGTCTGGGGGAAGAGGTTGGCTTTGGATGTAGAATACAAATTGTAGAGATAAATCTAAAATTCAGAGATATATCTTGGCTAAGGAAGTTAATTTGGGGGCTATAAATAGATCCTTTTTATTTTTAGTATTTAGTGACTTTCCTAAATAGAATTTTGCAGAATTTAATCTGTAAAAAACATGGCTTGCGTAAAACTGGCTCACAAAATTCCTACATTGTTAATGTTGGGGTCTGAGAGAAGCCTCCAAGAAAGACCAACAGTCACGTATTCAATTTAGCAAGAGCGTTTATTTACAACAGGTTGGGGTGGCAAAGAACGACCTGA